ATAGGAGGCGCCACACTCCGTCGAGACTAGTTAAATCCCAAGTGTCGATTACTTTCTGCTCTCCCGCAGTAGTCGGCACGACACTACCCTAAACCTATGGCAAATGTAATAAATGTACAGTCAGAGAGGACCTTCTACTACTACATCTAGATGGCAAGGCTCTTCCAGACTAGCATTCCCAAACCTTCAGCTATGACATACCAACTATTCAGTATAATCATATTGTAAAAACATAAATTCTACTAACCTGGGGTAACAATTCCAACACATTTGGTTTTTGTTCAATATATACTATTTTAAACAAAGACAAATTTACTACACAGTCTACAACTCCCCTTACATAATCAAATATCCTTTTATATTGTCAGATAGACAGCAGGGAGACTCTAAGGTCTTCTAATAAAAGCAGTTCGATTTTAGATACTAAATGTGCCATGTAAATAGTGGCTCTGAGAGCATTGAAAAGGGGCTCAATAGATAAGTTGAAAAAAAGTGGTGTAAAATGGGTATTGTTATGTAAGTTCACTAACAAAGCATGTGTGCATGAATGCATCACGAATTTTGCTTTATGAATTTGAATGGATTGGCAAGTTACATGATAAATCTTTCTCTAATGTCACCTGATTGATTAAATTAGTAACACCATGCAGAATATTCCTATTTACTGCATATAGCCATACATAGCCACCACACTTTTCTGATGTGGAGTACAGTCAACCCTCCATAAATGCATGCCCTTGGGAATGAGTCAGAGTATGCATTTAGAGAGGAATGCATTTTACAGAGGGTCAGCATTTTATTGGTTTTACATGACTCAATAAAAGTTATTACACTCACAGACTTTAAACTAATGTAAGTCAGAATTAAATCACAGTCTTGAAACTAGAAACACCTCCCAATCAGCCCATTCAAAAAAATCTGGTGAATGTCTAAGTGGTACTTGATATGAATTTTTTTTAGCATGAGGTTTTGAGTAATAATCACTATGAGCACCAAAGCATAAATCACCACCACGCCCAAAAAAAGGTAAATAATTATTATCATCATAAATGGCATATTTGTCTTGATTAGCAAAAAAACTTACTATATTCTTATCACTAATTTTATCTAATCTAAATATAAAACTTTTTTTAGTGGTAAACCAATTATTATGGGCACCCCATGCAAATGGGTTATATCCACCAAGTATTTCTTCAGTATCCAACACTTTCCCAACAGCAATTGTAGGTCCTTTGTTTTGACACAGTTCTCTAAATTTTGCAACTGTGTTACCATCTCTACTTTGTCTATAAAGTAGAATAAGTTGATAAGCATCATGCTTCATAGATATCCTTTGATTTTCTTGGAGTTGCCTTGTTGATACCACAATCTTTGATGAAATCCATCCTGCTTGCTCTTTATTAATAATTAGTGAATCAATATCAACATCATATCCTTGTCTTGTTCTTGGTGGTAACATATGGGTAGTTGGTTTATAATCTTTGTCCAAATGGTACTTTAGAACATCATGACGTAGCGTTTTTGGTAATAAGTCCTCATACAACATAATGTTATTAGAGGAAATACTGAAAAATCTTATATGAGGAATGCAATCTGCTATGGTCTCTTTGACTGTGTTGATATCATTAGATGACCATTTGTTTATATCATTTCCAAGTTCTACTCCCGGCACTTGTTTAGTCGCCCATTGGATGACTGACATCCAAAGATCTTCTTCTTCTATGCTTAGCTCATCATTCTTGAGAAGGGTGATCAAACTCTCCTTTGGTAAGGTTGCAATATCATTCGATTTAAAGATAATATCAGGATGAGAAATCATAATTTGATTGCAATAGTCCAAAAGTTTGTTTAAAGAGGCCGTGGATTCAGTTAACTTATGAACCGTGATAATATTTTGTTGGATCCATTCTTTTTGTTTATCAATCAAATAATTCTCAACCGCAGTGAGAAGATCAAATAGTCTAAACTTGCTCGCTCCATTCAAGAGGCAGATCCAATCAATATTCTTGCCTGAATCGTAAAATATTCGCCCAGTGTAAATATACCTGTCATGAATCGTTAAATTGGTATAAGTATTCACAAAATTTATACGTATCTCTGGACAATTTATGAAATTTACCTGAGCAATAGTTCGAAAACGTCAGGGGTCACATCTTCAAAGGTTATGGCTGTCTTTTGAACTGCTTCGAGCGTCTCTCTATTTCTGGTCAAGCTATTCTCAAAGAATGTGCTTCTCGTACATAATACCAACGTATGAGCGAAAAATATTTTGCTGTTTGGCTCCTTTCCAACATGGATTGAAATATCCGTATATCTGCCACTTTCGTATAGTTTTTCATAGTCTGCTGAAAGAACGGAGGATAAATCAACAAAGTTATTCATTTTCGTTACAATGTTGTCAAAGTGTTCACAGTCGTATTGAATATGCATCATTGTGTAACATCCGATCAGATTACTGGATTAAGGTGCAATCGCTTTTTTTATAGTGAAGTAGAAAGAAATGGGATTAAATAGCTTGAGTTATAACAGAAGTGGTTTATTGTTGTGAATAAACAATAACCATAGATTTGGTTCTTACATTACATGAATTCTGCATTATCTGCATTTACAGTTTCCCAAACCCAACTGTATAATGTTTTGTATGTGTTCCTTCAATGGTCAACTCTATTCTAAGGACCTTTTTTGTTTTGTACCATAGTGATACTTTATGATTACCTCCTGTGGTTTGACTAGAAATCTGAAATTAGTTGTTTATACCAACTTGTTATAGTATATAAGGATTGGATTGATCGGTCAATTTCTACCAGATCTATTATATGTTCGAAAGGAAATACGAGAGCGACTCTTTTCTAGGGACTTTCTATAATTACAATTTTAATTCCGCATATCGATCGGTACAATGTAGATAGATGTTACTTCCTTTTGAAAAAAAAGGGAAGTATCAGTTAGGATGTGTATTCGAGATTCTGAACTATGGTGCTAATGAATTAAACTTATAGAGCAGCTGAGTTTCCTGAATTAGATGATATACCTTACTTCAACGAGCAATAACCTTAAGAGACCAAATGTAGTTAGATCTGCGCAAATAAGATGGTTGTATAAAGTCAAAGCAGAAGTGTAAATAAAATGCCATTAGAACTTATTCAATATTGTGATAGCTGACAAGCGGGAGTGGTGATACATAGAATACTCGCGGGACAAGAAGCAAATGCTCCTAATCAATAAGCTGATAGGGATTAGCGGTTTCACAGTTATAATCAGGGACTAAATTACGAATAGTGTGTTTCTGAGTACAAAGAACTACTCGTTTATTAAAAAGTTGAAGTGTACTTGAACACCCGAATCTAGCGGAAAGTCGTTCTTCTTTATATCTGATCTGTTGGCATTGCTCTCTATTTCAATCTGTGCGGCGCACTGTTGGCACTTTTGCCTTAATTAATTACTAATTGCTAATGTTCGATTACAAATTTGATTTTTTGATTAAAACTTTATTATAATTATGAGTTGAATCAAAATATATGTAATATTGTCATTCGCTACAGACTCTGTATCATGCAATCTCAACGCTACACTGATATACATATACACATATTTTCAGAAAGTATTTGTTACTGCTTAAGTTTCGTTTCAGTAAAAACTTAGATTTGAGTTTTGAAAATTAAATCAGCTGTAATACTACTAATGCAAACAACTTGGTAAACAAACGTCCAGATTTCTAAATGCGAAAGTTATCTATATATTATATGAAGTTACAATTGCAAGTTAGAGAGTGCGTTTTCAATATATAATTCCAGGCTAGTTAATATCTAAACTACATGGCTTCCTCGATAGCAAACTTTATATTGATTATTTTTCCTGTACTTAAAAACAGAGCTTGAAATACGTTGTCCTTTAGAATTACCAGTTTATGAACGACCTTATAATTATATTATCATCGCGTTAAGATAAATTTATCTTTGTTTACACGGGTTATAAATATCTGATTATTTATAACTCTGCAATTAAGATAAGATTATCGAGCTGTAAGGAAGGGACTGTGTTTTCATGCTCCGTTCATAGACAAACATGGTAATTTTCGATTTCTACATGGCTAATTTATTGCATTAATACATTTTTAGTAATTGCAGATCATTCTACCACATGTGATTTCCCCTAAATTTGTTGGATTGCATTGAAACCGAGTTAATAATACTGACGAATAACAACTATAAACGCTTGCATTGTTCATACTCACACAACGTAGATCAATAAACCCGCTCTGTAATCTGAGCCGCATAAGGAGTCTATTCATAGTAACAATAAATTATGACGGATGTCGGACTAACAAAAAACAAAATAAGGAAAAGTATAGCCCCATGAACTATGCAACGAGGCTGTCTTTCGCCCAATGCGATAACTTGACGCTGTCGGAATACACAACAATGACTCACGTCTGAAATTGATTAGACAAATATAAAGATGCTACTTTAAGAGTATCGAGTCGGACTAGAAATTTACAAATAAGAATAATTATATGGCGATAATAAATAGAAAAAGTTTATTGTAATAAATTTAGGCGTGTTAGCTGAGTAAAAAATCAACTTATAACAGAATTTGTTAAACATATCAAAGTACGCCGCCGCCTGGAAAATATTTCCTATACTTTTACTCGATTATGTTACATCCGAGAGTTTCTCACATTTCCCTTCCTCTATATATATAAAACTCATATCACACTATCGCCGTTCGCTCTTTCTTGATTGAAAACGTTATTGACTTATCTATCACTTTATCAAGCCTCTGTCGAATCATTGACCATCACTTAAAAGGTAATTACTAAATGTCCACTTAGTTTCTATCATGTAAATAAAGAGAAACCAAGAGGAATAAAAGATATGAATATGAATATAAGTAGTGGCAAACGCACCTCGGATAAAAAGTAACCACAACGAAATAACAAAACAACATCTCAAGAACGTATTTACTTCACTCGCTACATACAGATAGCGATGAAATCTCAAATGACTGCTCGGCAAATCAGGACGCTATCATCATCAGAGCCACATCCATCTTCGACTTCTACATGTTTTCCACCGCCTAGCTCTTCGCTCCCGAGTTCTCTTTCTCAATCAACATTTATTTCTCCTCCAGCTTGCGATTCATTCTCGGCCACTACTACTCCAGTAATGCCGTCACCTTTTATGGCAGCCGAGAGCAGATCATATCAGCCTTACTTGGCAAGTCCAGAGATTTGCAATGAATTTAGTACTAGTGTCGGTTGTGATACTACTGGGAACAAGGATACTCTATCAACATCGTCGTCGTCGTCAAATCGATTACAACAGTTGCCATTATTCACATCATCGCAAATATATGACCATGCAACACCAGATACCTATCAGCGTTCGGCATGCTTTCAACTGCCAGTTCACTCGAACACATACCCATACATGCCATCACTGTATCAACAAACTCTCGAAACGTCTCTTTATTCGAATCCTTCTTACCATCTCCCTTCTCCCCAGTTCCATCATTCTCAATCTCAATCTCATCAATCGGTTTCCCAATCCCATTCACATAATCACCAAATCAACCATAACAACTCGTTTCCAAGATGTCCCGACTATACGCAGTGTCAGTTCGATGGCGGATATTATTGCTCGAACGTGTTTACTGGTGGTGCAACTGATGTTCAGAATGCTTACGTATCGATTGGGAATGGTTTTGGAATGTGTGAAGTTGCGGCAGGTAGTGGTGGGACTAGTATTAATCCGAAAGCAGTATTTGATGTCTGGTGTGCGAATAACCAAAATGTAGAAGGAAAAGGAGGAAACGGGAATGCAAACGGTGAATGCGGCTCAAATAGTTTGGATTATGAAAGTATCGGGAACGAAGCGAGTATTACCGATAGCATTGTCGGAGAGGTAGAGAGAAGGAAATGCCAAAAAAGCGATCAGTGCGCAAGCGCAAATACGATGCATTCTTATTCTAGCAATGTTTCTTTTACGTCTGATTCCGAACCCTTCTCACCAGTCCACCAACCGTCGCAATCATTCTCTCATCACTCTACTCCATCTTCAGCCGCTCGATCACCTGATACTGAACTTTCTACGTCCAGTTCTCAAGTCGAAAAACAATCTAAAAAACGTCGTAGAAGAAAGATCAAAGCTGTGATTGATACCGGTAGATCCACAAAGGACGAGCCAAGGACGAAACTTGGAGAGATTTATAAATGTGCGAATTGTGGAACGAGAGAGACGCCCGCTTGGAGGAGGGATCTTGAAGGAAAGGAACTATTGTGTAATGCATGTGGATTGTAGTAAGTGATTCAATCTCTTGAGACTATCTATGAGCGTTGAGACAAAATTTATTCATTTTATTATACTAATTCGACTATTTGTCTCATAAAGTTTAAAAATAAAAGGTACTCATAGACCAACAGAAATAGGCCCAGGTGGTGAGATCAGGTTGACTAAACCGGAAAGATATGACGATGATTCGCTGCAGAAATGTGCCAATTGTGAAACTAAAGACTCGCCATGTTGGAGAGGGCCTAATGGGCATAAAATGTGTAAGTATAGGGAACAGGACGACGACAAGTATTTGGTTTTCGACGATGATTTTTCTTGTTTATTAATAGATATCGAATTAGGCAATCGATGCGGATTGTTTTACAAGCAGCACGGTTACCAACGACCAGTTTCTTCAAATAAGAAGAAGAATTCTCACTATCGACCATATTGATATTGAAATAGTGATGGTTATTATGATTCATTGAACCATTGATATGTGGGTAGTAGTTTTCGGACATTAAGTAGTAATTTAGTTATAACTGAAGACATTGCTAAGCTATGTTTGCTTACGGAATCGTTTGAGAGAAACAAGTGGGTCAAATATATTAAAATGACATAGTTAATAAATCTAAGTCTAAGAAAACGCAAGCGCATATTATTAAAGGGACAGGTTTTTCATAAACACACACACATGATCTCATGTGACCAATAATAACGACACTATGCTTTTTCTTTTTCCTTTATCGATTATGATGGGAATGAATAAGTTACCAAATAAAATATTTCAAGCTGATAATCAGTAAAAATCAATCAGTTATCAGAATCTGATAATACTTGTGACACCCCGGTGATATCCGAGATATCCGAGATAAGTATAAACCTGACAGGTCACACAACCTGCCAGGCCTTTCATTAGACGCTCACTGTTCACTCCATAAACAGGAATATTATGGGCTGTACAATGTGTCGGGTTGTGCGACCTGCCAGGTAAATTCCTGATAATCGGACAAGTAAACAAAAACATTACATCAATGATTGTGTGACTCGATGATGGAAGATTATCTATTTTGGTTATGTAATAGCCGAAAGATTTTTTTGTGTGTGTGAGCCACTATTGTTCGAACTGTTGCTCAACTGAATCGGTTTCCATAACTTTCACCTGAATATGAAGGGGGTTTCTATTACTATTCAATTCAACCCACTATTGTTCTTCTTGATAATTATAATGTCTCGCTGCTGCCTGAACGAATACCTGTTTGTCAATTGGCAACTAAAAGACTCGGTTTTCCATAATTTTCACCTGAATATGCATCGATTATTTGTGCAACTGTAATTGTGGTCAGCTGACAGCATCGAAAGTAGTTTGCGCAGTAAAGAAACTATACTATTATTCAATGCTGTCACCTTTATCTTTATCAAGATAGAGAACAAGGACGTGGGTGTGGTATCAGTAATTCAGTAGTATCACCAATAGCTTACGTTATCTGCAGAATATTCTTCATCGGGTGTTTACTATTTTCAACTCTTAAATTTCTCGGATTCGCAATTCCGGTCAAATATGAAACAAAAATACTTTTTTTTTTTTTCCTCACTTCATTGTTGTCGCTTGCTTACTCTAGTTTTTATCTGTTTATCAGTTGTTGCACAGCATGACTTCAAAGGGCTGTGCACCTTTTATATAAGACAGTAAGTGACAGCTTTTTTTTTTGTAACAAATGAATGTATTTCAAACTTATCGCACAATTGACAAGCTAATTGAACTTTGTAAAAACCATAAAACTGGAGAATGTACAGCAAGGGAATTCGAGTGGAGTAATTTTGCAAACATAAAGCCCCTACATGACCATACAGCCTGGAGTGCCACTTACGACCAATATGAAGCGGTAATATTATTATCACTAGGAACAGATAGTGAATGTACACGAGAGTTCGTGCATGCCTTTGCTAGAGTGTACTCGCTTCCAACCCATAAATACAAACGTCCACCGAATATCAATCGGTTCAAACGGTATCCAGTATGGCTTGAGAATCGCAATAAGCAGATACTCGGTTTCACCCAGCATATAGACAATTATTATTTAGTAGCAAAGAGAGAATTCTATTACTGTTATTCGTTATATGGATTCTGCTCTGCTTGCAAAATCCTTAGATGTAGTCCAGTGTGGTGTATTTGTGGTTATAAAAAATTATCCAATAGATGGACAAGCAACAATAAAAGACTTGACGAGTTGATAAGGAAATCACAAAGTCAAACAAAGTCAGCGAATGAAGCGTATTTAGAATGGATTCCATTTGATATGCTTGAGAATAATGACTCTCTTCCAGCTACATACTCTACATACTCACATAGCATATCGACGGTGTCGCTTTCTTTGACTTTGTTTGGAGCACCGGATGAAGTAGACGAGGATAATGTGAGTTATTTTTAACTGTAATTGTAATCGACTTTTGAAATGAAAGCGTTACTGTCCTAATTACTAACCTGTGATATTCAACGTTAGCTGAGTAACTGGCCGCACATGCTCGATGCTCAAATTTGGGACACGATTGGATTTACGTATCATGGAGGAGGATATGCTCTAGTCACACCCGAATATAGAAACAAACTATGTCTGGCATGTACCGCGTATTTGAATTCTAGTATAACCGCATTCTGTTCAAAATGCAAGGCGCCAAAACCTCCCGATTGGACTACCGGCAGCAAATCATTGGATTCATTCATGATGGAATCATGGCGTAACACAAACACAAAATGCGACAGCTATCTCAAATGGATAGAGTTTGATCGATTGAAAAATTTCCGAGAGGTTCCTTCGTTAGATCATGGATGTACGCATACGGCAGATTGGATAGATCTACCCACCTATAAAAACGATTCAAAAAAAGTGGCGTTCAAGAAAGTAACTTACGAGCAGTCATTTAACTTTAATCAAGTGAGTCTTATTTTATTGAGAATATTGTATTGGACATTTTACTATTCAATCATACATTATGTTAACCTTGCATCAATTTATTTAATAGCTGACCAAAGATTACCCAAACATATTGACTCCGCAAAACATCTGGATTATTGGATTCACTCAAGAGCCGTCAACCGAAGATTACTATTTAGTATTCCATTACGATATGCGTTCGGTGCTAGATATCCTTATGCATAGGTATGGGTTGACATACATAGACCATGCTGATTTGGTCGTAATGGAAGAGGTCGGAACCGGTGGTTACGGCACGGTATCTGTTGCCAGATGTGAAAATCATCAAAGTACGCAAGAGCTTGTTGCTCTAAAAGAGTTTAAGGATTTTAATCGGATAGCAGAGTCTTTCATTTTTGAGGTAAGGGCTCTTTGCGAATATAATGATCGAGTATAGTATACATTTCATTAATCAGTCGTTTCGTTTTTAAAGTTTAGGAATCATGCTATGTGTTCGAAAGACATTTTTGACAGATTCCTCAAAGTTTACGGCATTTCTCAACTGCCAGAGACGAAAGAGTATATAATTGTAATGCAGTATGCTGATGGCGGTGATCTTACCAAGTATTTGGAAGAAAATATCAACACACTGACGTGGAAAATGAAACTAAAATTCTTAAAGGGTATTGCACATTGTCTGGTAGTAATCCACGAGGAAGGGTCAATCCATTGCGATCTTCATGGTGGCAACATAGTTTTGAGTAGCGACGACGATCAGGGTACAGCATATATTTGCGATCTTGGATTCTCTCAGCTAGCAACGATATCCAAGCCAGATTCCGTCTCTATTCGAGGAGTATTACCTTTTATTGCACCGGAAATATTTTGCACTTATGAATACACTCAAAAGTCGGACGTTTATGCTTTTGGTATTCTTATGTGTCAAGTTGCCAGCGGAAAACCCCCGTTTAGAGAAAAAAAATTCAGTCGCGATTTGATAATCGAAGTTATTGATGGCTTACGGCCGCCGCTACCTGAATCAACGCCAGAGCCTTTTAGAGTACTTGCTGAAAAGTGTTGTGACGGCGATCATAATAGACGTCCAAGCGCATGGGGACTTTATTTGCAAATTAACGATCTCCTTTGCGAGATAGAAAATGGCAAACATGACACTAATGCATGGGATGCAATCTATTATCACGAGAATTTGAAACCTCTATCACGTGCCGAGAGAGAGGGCAGGTACTCGAGTAGTGTAATATCTAATAAGAACTGCCCAATACTGAATAAGCGCTGGAGAGGTGAATCGGTTGAACGTAAGGAGAATACTAATCTATTATCTTGACATGCATGCATGCATGTTATTTGTAGTAGAAAAAAGTCTTAGTTTTTTTTTACTAACCGATATCTTTTTATAATCTAGAAACTCAAGATATCTTGTAAATTTACATTTTTATAAGATGCTACCTTATTCGGATAATATTATCTTTATTGGCGATCATGCAACGCAAACATTGTAATTATTACAATAACAAACAATATTCTATAGGAAAGCACAGGCTGCATTGCATGATATGTATAAATAAGTCTTGGGTCTTTTTTTTTTAACTAATGTTTAAGGAAAATTCGCCTTCAATTCTTAGATTCGATTGTATGTATGTATATAATACCCCAGACTTGCAAATATCGCAGAACAATATAATATATTAATTATGATCAGTAATAAGTGAGTAAAAATTATGTAAATTGTTGTTAGGTAAAATGTTAATATGCAAAAACTCACTTTTACTGCGTTCAATTTTTAGCAATTACTCTTGTAGAAAATATGAAAGTCTGTCAATGACAGTGCTTTACTACTATCGACACAGTTTTTTATGCTACTATGTAGGGTTATATAGACAATATCAAATGATTGAACATTTATTTTTTCGAAAAATTATTTTTATAACCGAATGTAGATAATTTGTTTAAACAAGCAAATATAACAATAATGTAACAAATATTTAAAACTAAGTATAAATAGGTTAAGAGGCTTTGCCTCTGTAGCATAAATAATACTGTAATACATATTCTATATACTGTACGTGGGATGACTGGAAAGTAATGGAAATTGGTATGTGCAGTACTCGAAGATTTGCACACTAAGCGCGCGTGCATAATTGTCTAAAGGCATCACCTTTAATCGAATTGTCGTAATTTGACACAATTTGATCACTCACTAAAAACAAATGGAGAACTCTAACCGCTAACACAAGATGCTACTAAATCTTCACTGAGTGAAAAAGAGACATTTGTTGCTGACGTCTACCGAAAGTTAGTAGTTGGAGAAGATGTCTGAATACTATTTGCCGCTTGGATAAAACACTTTGAGTATGGACAGCAAAATGGTTGTCACTCCAACCATTATACTGGCTGAACAATATGTCAATGATAACCGCAGACAATCTACCGTATTCTCGTGAATAAGCATACTCAGTTTATTACATAATGACACGTGATTCTAAACCATTTTATTCTACGTGACGGTTTGCCTAGTTTA